CGGCTCAGGAATTAGGTGCGACCCATGCGCTGGGAGGGGGGGGTGGCAGAATCTGCGGGTGTCAAACGTAACAAAGTACACAAAACAGAGTCACTCGCTCGCCGGTTACCGCCACCATGGAAAGAGTACTGGCTTTTCAGAATATTCCCCTAACCAAGACAACATCGGAGTTGCACCGTGTGGCAGGCAAGAGGCCGCCTGGATGATATTTTCCAAGAAGGGGAGAGCTCACGAGGAAGCGAGCAATGCATGCCCGCCTTTCCCGTCTGGTGGCTTGGCGGGCAGAGAGAAAAATGGCCCCATGTGTTGGGAGGGTCGAACGAACAAACTATGAAAACAATTCCACGCACACTGGTCGTGTCACCTACATAAGCGTTCTCTCTCTGTGCGGTGGTTGTTGGCGAATCGACCACAAAGACGAGTGTCGGGCACTCTTGCTCATCAGCCAGCTAGCCCGCGGGCGGGTTTCTTGTCGTTGAACTGATGTAGCAGCATCCTTCTGTACCATATACCCGACCTGAGCAGCCTCGAAGCAGAAATCTTCCGGCGGGAGCCGCTCCGTTCTCACCACCCGCCTGTCCCCCCGGGCATCCACCGCCGACTCGCAGTACCTCGCCACTGTTGCCTCCGTCTCCTTCGACAGCCGGGGTCCGGGGAGCAGGAGCTCCAACGGCCTGATCGGTCGGACCGGAAGCACGATTGATCGGACAAGAGGGTCGACGGGCTCTGTTTTAACCGTCTGGTTGACCAAAACAACCAAAGAACGGGTGGGTGAGAACGCACAGATAGATAGATAGATCAATGATATATAGAGAGTCACAAACAAGCCTTCAATGCTTTCCCGCGCGCTACCGCTTCCCCAGAAAAAGCGGTCAAGCGTGGGAATGAAGGCGGGAGCGCGACAGACCGCACATCGTCATCGACATCTAACCCGTGTCTAGTTTCCAGTGGAGGGTGATCCGGAAAGGGGGGTCCTGTGAGCTGGCTGCCCAAGTACTGGATTTCCACACGCCCGAAGAGGACCCTCGTGGAGACCTGGTCTTGTAGAACAATGCCAAATTTCTGCCGTAGGTGGGCTACAAATTTCTCATTCAAGTGCAAACAGTGCTTGTGTCGTGCGTCGTTTTCTCCCAGGTATATGACTGTGCAACAAAAGCCAATCACAGTGTTCACACATTTCGCCTGCTTGCGGACCTCCCGTATAACCCATATCCGTCATAAGCGACAGGAAGAAACATCAACTTTTCCCCTCCCCTCTGTCCCAAAACCAAAACACATGCCCCCCCCCCCCCCCCCCTTCCCCCGACCGACCTCAGATGTCTCAGCCGAGTGTGCAGCTCCTGACGCTGTCCCGAACCTTCCTCGAACGCATCGTGCACCACCTTCCCGGTCCTCACGTCCACGGCTATCAGACCCACCCGCACTCTCTCCACTTGCTTCTCCGCTCCACCGCCGCCGCCGTCGTTCAGGGCGATCGAGATGGAGAGCGGCTCCCCTTCGGTGCTGGCGCCGGGCGAGGCGTCTTCCTCGTACATGGACATGAGCCACTGCTCTGACCTGTCGAGGGGGGTTGATTTACGACTGTTCATGTCAAGCAGCGGCAGTCGAAACGAACAATCCCGGAGACAACGAAGGAGTCGCCCCGGGTTTGGAATCGTTGTGGAGGTCTGTATGGTCTTGAAAGGAACGAACGCTTCCGACTTCCGACGGCCCCCCACGGGCGCGAAAAAATGACAACAAGGCACAACGGTTGGGGTAGTTGATACCGCCGGCAGACAGAGCTGCACTGGATGGGCGAATCGCTATCGCGTATTCAAACCGTTTCAAATAAACGAGAGGCCTGCTGAGTCGAGGATTTCGAGAAGCAAGGTGCTTTCAATATCGTCCATGGGTGTAGCCTGCTTCAAACGGTAGACCCTCCCATCCCAAGAGAGCCGAGGGCGAGCGCTTTGGGCTGGCATTGCATTGCACCAAGCGGGAACCGCCGTGAGGTGCTCAGCGAGGCACACCAAGGGCGAGCCGCACGTCAAGAGGGGCCGCTAGCGAGGCGGGATTCGGCACTCTTGCTTGCTTTCATGACAGCAGACGACAAGCTTCGGATGGCTCGATTACTGTCCGAGCTACTGTACGGCGGAGAGGGGGACCGGGGGCGTCCCCGTTGCTTCCCTGACCCCTTTGGTCATTGATCACGTATGCCCTTCGAGACAGAGCACTGCCGTTACTACACTGATCTCAAATCTTGATTAGAGACACGGCCAACATCAGGGGACATGTTGACGGTTATGCCCAAACACTTGTAGAAAGTGATTAACAAGTCTTCTCGCATTTCTCCCTTTGACGGCTATTCACATCGTGTTCACAGTGAAACGAAATTTTCTTAGCTATTCGCTGGTGCACCAAGCTCGACCATAGTTTTGGTACATGTATCTATTTTCCTAGCCTCTTCCATAAGGGCACCCCTTCTCCCCCCGTCTAAATGACGTTACCCAACTCTATGTCAGTTAACTCTTGTGCGTGAGACGGGTTAGCTTGTAGATGTCCCCTCCGCCCTCCCCCTGGTTCGCCACACAAACACAAAAGAAAGCCAGAAATTATCACACCTTTCGTGATCAAGTTGGGGCAACGGCGCGTCCATATCCGCCTCGCTAGGAGGCTGAGGCTCTCCTGGCTGGTCGCTGTCCTCCGTGGCACCTCCTCCACCCCCACCCCCTTTCCCGCCCTTCTTGCCCCAACCTCCTACCCGTCGCCAAGCTCCACCAATCTTCCTGAACGATCCCTGTCCCCCACTTTTCCCTGCATCGGTGCCACTTCTGCCGCCGGTACCGGTGTTGGAGCCCGAGGATGAAGGCATGAGGGCCTCCACGGCTCCCTCTACCCATGTAGCCTGTGGCCGCGAATGTCGTGGGATGAAAAAGGGGGAAGGTGAATTTTTCCACCATGCAAACACGACAACAAAACATGCATACAGCCCTGCCTACTTGAGGCAAGTTGAAACCTCGCCGAAACAGAGCGGGCTCCGATCACGTCACCGCAACTCAAATCGCAACCGTTAACGTTCCTAGCGGAAGATAACGAACGACAGAGCACGTGGAAAACACTCGGTAGACAAACGTGTTGTCACTGAGAGAAGAGTGTCTTGCACCGTGCGGATGGAATCAATGCAAAGCCTGAACGCCAACTACAGAACACCGCACAATGCACACAAGCTACCCAGGTCACGTTTCAAGAACCCGACCTGTCACAAGCACCGAAACACGCACACGACAACAACCATGGTTGGCGATAAAAAGCCTCTCAAGCACAGGAAGGCGACCCGCCACAAGCTTGTAAGCTAACCTCGGGACTGACTCGCCTGGGAGAAGACTGCGGCAAGCTCACGCTTGAAGGTGCCAGACTTCTTGCCTGTCTCCGTCAAACCGGCAGCCTTTAGCGCAGCGGACTCGGCTTGACGAACGACCCCAACCTAGTGGAACGCCGGTACATATCATGGAGTACGTCACAACACGGAGACTCTACCGTAAGGCGGACAAAGGAGGGATGCAAGGTTTCGGGTATGGAACCGCTTGGTAGAAACGCCGCAACAGAAGACAGGGTGCCACGCCGCAACAAAGTGTTGACTGACCTCCTACGCCCCTTATGCCAAAAGGAGGCTTTGAGCGACAAATACCACCACCGCAGCTTCTGCACTCTGCCGAAATTGCCACACCAAACGACAAGCGAAATGCGAATGGTACCGTATGCGTGTGACACGATCGAAACACGGTGAGAGAGACAGGACTGACTCGCAGTTGGTTTCTTGCCTTGTATCCCGCGTCCACGAGCCTTCTGAGGTGTACAGCAAGGCGGAAAGTGGGCACGCTGGCCACCTGGAAGTTGTGGTCCATGTGTGCGTAGATGCGCAACACCTGCGCGAGAACGCGAAACAAAAAAACGGTCAGGCAGTGTGAGAGGGGGTTGACATGGTGTTAGTGAAATGCTGCTTTAGAGAGCAAAGGTCATTTTTATGCCTGCAAAAAAAAACGGAACCTTTGTGAAAAGGGAGAAGTGAAAAAGAAATGAAAACACAGCACAGCATCATCTGTAGCAAACAAACACCGCACCGGGCGTCGGCGTGGTAGCTCAAGAGCATCATGATCGGTTGCTCGGCAGGACCTACAGTATACTTCTCATACACAAATCACGTTGGGCTCGGCCGACCCAGACAAAATCAAACGCCTACAACTTACTTTGGCCGCAGCTAGGGCATCGTCGCCGAAGAAGCGATATCTGTAGCCGCACTCCACCAGAAGCAGCACCCCGGGATGCTTCGCTTTCAGATCGACGACTTGTTGCTCCATGGGCGTCAGCTTCACCCTGGCAGCAGCAGCGGCGGCGGCCTTCCCCTTTCCGCGCGACGAAGACGACGTCGCACCTCCTCCTGCCCCTGTTGTCGTACCCAACCCTCCACCCGGAGCACCGTTGTCACCGGTGCTGCTGTTCCCACCGCTACCCGCAGCAGCAACGGAAGGGCCGTCGTCGCTGTCGTCGGGCAAGGCAGCCCTCAAGCCCGCCTGAAAATCCTTTCTTCTTCTCGCGTCCTCCTCGAGGTTAAAGCTGTCGGCGCTGAAAACCGCCGCAGACGACCCTCCTGAGCCTCGCCCGCCGCCAAATACCGCCAAGCGAGATGAGTTGCTGCTGCTGCTGCTGCTGTCATCAGGGTTACCTTTGCTTGAACTATCGCCACCACGGGCGCGGCCACGTTCCCCACCTATCTCCTGGATTTCTTCCATGGCGCCATCCAAGGCTGCCGCCCCTCCTTCCTTACGCAAGGATACACAAGTGTCGCCGCCAGCGGGAGGCGGCTTAGATTGCCCAGGCGGCTTGTTGGCGGGCCGCTCTTGTTTCCCCCCGGCAGGCCGCTCCTTGTTCTTTCCGAGGCTGCTGCTGGATGTCGGCTTGTTGGATCCTTGCGCACCCGCTCCCGTACGCGGGCGCTTGGGGTTTCGCCCGATCGGCAAGTCTTCAAAATCCGATCCGTCGTCGTCGTCGCCAATCCCACCGCTCTTGCTGTTGGCATCGGCCTCTGAATCTGAACCGGAAATCTCGATTTCCTGTGCGAAAGGAAGTCACAGCGCCAAGCGGGCGCGTGCAAAGGGGGGCGGGGGTTGGGGCATCGACAACGTCTTATTGTGTTTGGTGGAGCTGCAGTCTGTTTCGAGACAACCACGCTTTGGTAGTACGTGCGTTGGCCACCATTACACCATTAACGATACAGCTATCTGGATAGAAAGGATCACCTAGGTAAGCCTTCAATAGGAGTATACAGTATTCCCGAAGAACCCGGATGTGTTCTCGGTTGAAACTCTCCACGAGACAATTGACGTGTGGTCCCCATGAGAACACGAGCAACCCGGTTGGGAAGGAGAGTTGATAATCCGTTCTTGGTGCAGGCAAGGGCGTGGAGCGTGGAAGGGTTCACGCTTGACGCGCACGGCGCATACCTCGCCAGCACCACTCTGTTGCGTGTCCCTGCAATCGGCTCGTGTCATGCTCCCCAGCCGAGACCACGGGGCTCGAGGTGCAACAACCCCAGATGGACAACACCACCCAGCACGCGAAATAGGTTAATGTACACCTCCACACCAGCTTGGAACGTATGCAGGGCTATTGAACACCGATACAAGCGGTAGTGGGAAGACTGTAGCCGGTCTGCGAGTATCCCCGAGTGTTTTGGAAATAAACAAATATCTTCGAAAGACAGCGCAAGGCAGCGCGAGAGGTAGATACGACATCGGTGTGCCGTGAGGGGATAAAAGGAGAAGTGACGCTGAACCCGACAAACAAAACCAACCCATATCTACATCGTACATGACCCGCGTTCCAATACTTGTAACAGTCCTTTACTGAGCCGATGTTACCGGCACACTCTCTCTGCCACAACTTCATGTACATGGTAGTACCTGGCACTCATGCGTGCAACACGGTAGATGCAGCTTGTTTACTCTCCTTACCTCCCGAGCCGCCGTACCACCCACCACTTGATGACCCCCACACATCTCGCACGCTCGCTTTGCGGCTGGATTGTTGAACGTGCATTTGGGGCATTGCCAGTCGGCGCTGCGCCTAGTATCCCCGCCGGCTGAGGAAGAAGTCGCCTTCTTACGCTTCGCCGCGCTTGTCTCACGATAGCGGCTGCCTCCGGAAGCTGCGTCTCCTGGGCTGCCTGTCTGGGGACTCGCCTGGCGCTGCGGAAGAAAAACAACACATGCCTAGCTCAGGGAGCTACGCATCCACATTGTAGCCATTTCTGGTGCAAACACTTCGACTGGCTGTTGTCTTCGACGCTCTAATAGTACCGTTCGTAATTTGTGTCACGAGCCACACGCATGTTTGTCATTTGCGATATGGAATTGTGTCGAGCCGGAAGCAAACAGTGTATGGCCGAGCTGGCAGTGAATACATACGTGAATGTTATTGCTGTGTGTGGCGGTTGTTTTGGTCGGGGGCCAAGGTTGCGTGTCACGTGTCATCGACGACGAACACACCTCAAGCAAGCGTGTTATTAATAGCCCCTTTTGTTGTTGACGACGGATTGCGTGAACTTTTGCTCATCTCAGTTTTTTTCGTGCAAAATAACAGCAGAGTATTTTGCCACAGTGCATTTTTGCCACAGGCGTATCCATGAAGTATCGCATCATGATACTCTGTACGCAAGTATACCATACACAGCAGCACAGCAGTGCTGGTATTCGTTTGGTGGTCCGACGATGAATAAATTACACAACGATTATTGTATTGTAAGGAAAAATAAAGACACACACATAGCCTACATACACTCAGCAGGCTCTGGAACTTGAAAGGGACCGGTGTGAAGCAATCCTATGCATATTTTACTGTTGAAAACATGCTCTCCCCCGCCCCCTACACCTACTATACATTTCCACACGGTACGCCGGGTGCAATCGAGGGCGGGAGACTAGCCTGCCGCACCACTATTTTCAAAAATGGTGCATGTTGTTGTTCGTACATTATTCTCTGCATATGTTATTTCACCTTCACTTTCTCCTTCGCCGCCGGTTTTTTCGAGCTACCAGCTGGATCATCATTGGTATCCCCAGGCCTCTTGAAGTACTTCGAGAGAAACTGCTGAGACATAGATACCTGTGCTGTCGGTGCAGGGTCGGGCACTGCACTGACTGCTGCTGGTGTCGAGCGACAAGCAACCCGGCGGGGGCTCGCAAATAAACAAGGCTGGAGAACAGGAGATACCCCCAAAAATCACACACGGGGAGGGGAGGGGCGGTCTCCGTCTGGGCCGTCTGTGACTGCTCGCTACTGCTGTGCTGTGCTGTGTGTGCCAGTGTTTGTTGTGCAGCAAGCCAGTTGGGCTGTCTGCGAGAGAGTGAACAGCTTGTCTCTCTTCCGCTGGAGCACGTGCAGCCCACCGGAGCAAGATGAACTTTGGCAAGCGGGATCTTGGTCTGGTGCTCTCAGAGACTATCGGAGATGCCGATACCTTGCGCTTTACCAAGGACTCGAGGTGTGTACAAGGGTCTACGGGCACGGTAGATAACTGAGGGGACGTAACACCCAAGACTTCATCCCAGTCAACCGAGGATAGAAGGCGCCAAGTATTCGTATTGGGAGCTCGACTATCTCCTAGTTTCTTGGGAATACCCAACGAAGATGAAGTAAAAGCTGTGCTGTGTCTAACGAAGGTGTGTTGGCGGTCCCAAAACGTTGCGCAAAGGTACAGCAGTACATACCTCCTCTTGCATAGCTGTCGTGCTGCAAGGTGTATACATGCGTATGGCACAGACGGACGGGCATCTTCACAGCGCGACGCTGTAGCCAAGCCTCGTGTATTATTTGTTGGGCGCGTTTGATCTGCTGCTGTACAACGTTAGCTGTTCAAGTTAGAAGTCAAATCTGTTATTACACCGCATCCCGTCGTAGCAATGTCAGCAGTTAGCAAGGCAGCATGCCTCCGTCGCCAGTCCCGGCGGCTGTTTCCTACTTCTACGTATACTATATATTTGTTGCTGTGCACGGCGGCCTCTGTGCTGCTGTCTGTAATACGTTCTTATTGACCACACTCCCGTTCAAGGGGCACCGCAGATGTACATGTTGTACAGCAGAACTATTACTGAAGAGAGATACCGCCAACGTTTGGGTGCACTTACTGTCTGGGACAGCAGTGTACGCAGGAAAATACTGCTTGCGCTATACTGTAACCATCATGAACCTCTCCGAATAAATGATCATTTCCCTTGCTGTTCCCCATATAGTCTACCAAGGTTGACGGCGTTGAGTTCATGTGTTCCCCTGACCCTTCCCTCTGAACGGTAGTGCTGTAGCCCGCCCCTGCAGTTTAGTTCACATTGCCTAATAAGCACTCTCCCAATCACATGAGCACTACGCTTTCTGCCTTATCTTCTTCCTCCTCCACCCTATGCATACGTCGCAATCGAGATCCCTACTCGAAAGTCATCAGTGTCACGGTGTACCTTTTTGGCATGGTCCATCGGTCGGGCAGTTTGAACACGTTCGTGTGTTTTCCCGCAACTACTGCCTGCCTGCGCATGCCCAACGGCTCTTCGCCGTCCACATCTTGCATCAATGTTATCCCTTGCCGTCCTTCAACCGCGTCCTTTCAGCGAGCTGAGTGGCAAGCAAGAAACCTTCAAGCCCAAGCGAGACCCTTCCAGGAAAGTCCACATCCATCGCGCTGGCCAGCGTCCTGCGGGGGCCAACGATGAAGAGAAGGTGGAAGCGCCGCCTTCGAAGCCGAGGAAGGGCGAAAGCAGGGCAGCCCTGGAGCGTGCGCGCGCGAAGATTATGGAAGGTACTCTCCCGCCGAAAACATGATGGATAGATTGGTTGCATAGGTTGGGTGTAGCCAGGGCCGTAACATCGCCGACGTAGAATGTCAGCAGCACGCCACCGCCGAAGATTCGCGGGTGGGCACTACGTTGTATAGAAACAGACGGAACGAAGGCCATCATCAATCTCAATCACACCAAGACGCGTTTCCATTCCTGCTCCCAACACATTGCGTCTCCTTCTTTGTGCCCTAGCATCAGATTTGAAATACCTCCCTCTCACGAAATAGACGGAACCTTGCGCGTGCTCGACTTGGTGCCGGACCAACTATACTGGTGACCCCACGTTGTCGTCGTGGTTTACCCGCGTTGTTCGTTGACCAATCATCCGCTTCGCAGAAGGCCGGCCGCGGTCAATCCGAGAAGCGCAAGTCCTTGACAGCGACAGCGACAGCGATGACAGTGGGCCTGTCTTCGGAGGTCGTTCGGATGATGAAGGTAAAAGTTTTTCAGTCCTTAGATGTACCGTACAGAAGTCTGGCTTGACTCTACCGGCGCACACGTCCTCCCGAAAAGTTACTCGGTTGCAGCTGGGTATTTCCCTTCACATTGCAAAGCAGTTCTGATTCAATCCACGCGTTGTTTTTCGGTAGCAATGCGAGTGAAATTTGGTTGTGTTGTTGTTGTTGTTGTCGTCGTCGTCGTTGTGTTGTCTTCACATTAAAAATATGATGTCGTTGATGAGCAGGGGTTCTATGCCTGGGTTTCTCGGCAGTCGCGAATCGTGCTGGGGTTGGTACCCTCGACTGGGGAAGGGGGGGGTTCCACAGCGATCTGGAGTGGCTGACTTGTTGGATGCTGCAGAGAGCAAGAAAGTATCGTGCGCCAAACAAGTGGAGCATTTCAGGTGCACAGAGCGATTCATGTCAGCCTTGCATGGCGGCTAAATTTGTTCCTCTCGCGGATATCTTCTTTTTTTTGGTGGAGCAGCCGATGGGGATGTGCCCTATCGCCCTACGGGGGAAGCTGCAGGAGCAGGGCAGGTGGAAGAGGATGAGGACGACGATGCCATTGCAGCTCGCCGGGCGCGCATCAGGGAGCGGCTAAGGGCCCGGCCAACCGAAGAGGCAGAGGTGCTGGAGGTGGAGCAGGACGAGATGGCCAAGTGAGGGAGGGCCTTGACTGAGTTGCTTGCATCTGCTACCCGATATCGACTTGATGAGAGGAGTGGACTTCTGCTTTGTGTTTCACCATCGTGAATGCCTGCTGTTTCCATGCTAGATTACGTAGGTCGATAGTTGGCTCGAAAAAGTGTCTTGCTGTCCTTGACGATATCAACATCAACATTGGACTCGTTGGTGCACCAGTCTTCCTAGTTGGTGCATCGATCAATCTTTTCCTAGAGGGAGATAGAGTGATCACGATATCGGTCCCGTGTCTGCACACGAGTCTGGTTCCCACGAGACACGAACATTCGTTAGCATGTTTCCCTGCGTTGCTTGATTTCGAACTTTACCGCCCGTCCCAGGCCTGATGAAGAGTCGGAATCGACGGAGTGGGAGACGGATACAGATGCGAGTGACGAGGAAGAAGGGGACGGTGAACAGGCACGTCCAATGCTTGCTCGCACTTTCGCGCGCAGATTGTTGCTGCACCACCACTACACCCAGATGCGAGCTTGTGCATCGTTTGGCAAGAGCTGTTGTCCATATGTGATGCCCGTAAAATGCCCATTTGTGATGTCAGTACTGGGAGATAATTTTCTTGCACGTCTCTGTCGCTGCCTCATTCCTGTTGGTCCCCGATTCCAGGTGCTGAAGCCCGTATTTGTTCCGAAGGCAAGACGAGAGACGGCCGTGGAAAGGGCCAGACTGGAAAAGGAAGAGAAGGAAAAAGAGCAGAAGAGGAATACAGAGAAGGTGACAGGCTGACTCAAGACGAGGTGTTTGCGGACGATAAAAGTCCGCACGCACTTGCTTTTTTCAGATGGCAGTAGAAATCATGGTGCGAGAGAGAGAGAGAGAGCACGTCGGACTCTAGGGCCGCGAGCTGGTGTAAGCTGCATGTGAACATGTTTGTCGTGCACGATCTGTGGAGTCCCCTCACACTGTTTGCTGTGGTGCTGCAATCGACCACAGGAAAACCGGAAACGGGAGACGAGACAACTGGCCGCACAAGTAGTTCGGCGAGAGGAGGAGATGACAGAAAACCACCTTGGCGACAACGAAAGCGAAGGCGACGCCCCAGACGACGATGACGACCTAGACGAGGTGTGACAGGATTATGATGATGAAAACCACGCGCATCGGCGTGGCTTTCCTTTTGTTGCTTGTGGCGGCCCGGGCTGTAGACCCGTGTAAAGCCTTGTGCGATCTCCGTGTGGTTCAGCACCTGTCTCGCATCTGCTGTGAGAGCGGTAGAAGCGAAAAGAGGTCGAAGAGTCGCGTTTTGTCTCCGATATACGATATAACCGGAGGGGAGGTGTTGCTGCAGAGCCCAGCCTTGAACTACGGTTTGTTTGCTCCTTGAAGGTGCGGGGGCAAGGGGGTTCTCAGCGGAACCTCTTCGTTGCGGGCAGTTTCATGCACGCCCCTCTTGTTCCGTGGACGTCTGTGGGAAGCTACCGATGGGATAACTTATTGGTGCTAACGAAGTGCTTGGTTAAAAGCTTGATGCAGGGACAACTGAGATCAAGTTCGCTTGAGGAGGGTTTACGACTCACTCTCAGTCGCTTGCTTGCAGCGTTATGGCTCACACGACAACCCCTGTATCTGTGCTTGGGGTTCTCCTTGAACCTGCCCTTGAATTTTCGACTGTTGGGTGCGTTTTGTTGGCAATATATACACAGGAGCTGGCGTTCGAGGAATGGAAAGTTCGCGAGCTGAGCCGGGTTAGAAAAGAGAAGGAAGAGCGCGAAAGCGCGATTAAGGTGGGCCATGTTATTTGCGGTGCCAGATGTGTGTGCGTCTCATGCCATGCTTCCCTTGTCTGAAATAGCAGTGGGTAAACCAAAAGATGAGATAAATTCGCCGCTCCCACGCCATGGGTGAGGTAGTTCTTGCTGATTCGAGAGCTGCTCCACCTTGCACATTCAGGAGCGTGAGGACACCCTCAGGAGGCGGAACATGACGGATGATGAGCGCCGGATGGAGGACATGATGCTCGGGAAACACGTCGGGAAGGACAAAGGCACCATCAAGTTCATGCAAAAGTACTACCACAAGGGCGCCTTCTACATGGTGAGCAGTCTTGTTCCAAATTAACCGGTTGCACCCGGGCGGTGTTTTGTATCGTTGCTTCATTGTTACACTTCGCGTGCTTCGGAATGACGCGTAACGTTGCGCTCATCTTTCCAACTGGTGTCGAAACCGTAAATGTAGTGCTATAAGTTGAAGTTGGCAAGAACGCATGAGTGACGTGAATAGTTTAAGTTATCCAGCACATACGAGTGATAGAATTTCTAACTCGCTTCCTTATGCCAACGACGACCTTCTGGGTGTCGATGTGCTTGTTCTGTTCGAGTACGGCATCGTATTTTTGTTTTTTCCCGTGCCTCGGAACGCCCGCAATGACGCCCACAGTGATAGTCCATACAATTACTCACATTTCTTTCTCCTCGACCTGACCTTGTCTGCCAGGACGACGACTCGCTCAAGGTGGAGGACGACGTGCGGCGGCGGAGCTACAACGAGCCAACCCTGGAAGACAAGTTCGACAAAACACAGATGCCGAAGCCTATGCAGGTGAGCCTGCCTCACTCTTGATTGTTCAACATCCCCATCCCCCTAGTTTAAATGTAGCGGTGTGATGTTCTGATCTGTCTTCCCAATGGTGTCAAATCCAACCGTTCGCAGACCCCGCAGAATCAGAGAGGCCCTGTGCGCTCGACCACAAGTCCCCTTGTCTCCTCAGATCTGATTTCGTTTTTTTGTTTTTTTCTCGCCTTGTCAGGTCAAAAACTTCGGGCGGTCCGGGCAGACCAAGTGGACTCACTTGGCCAACGAAGACACCACGCAGTGGGACTCGGCGTGGGCGCAAGAAACGCACGTGGCGACCAAAATGCAGCACAAAATGTCCGGGGTCGGGAACATCGACGCCGCTTTCAAGCGTCGAAAGAAGAAGAACCCGGAGTAGTGAGGGTGGTGGTAGAGAACGACGAACTGCGTGCGCGTGTAGGGAGGAGGGTCTCTTGGTCGGGTATTTTGTCGGGACGGCGTGGCTTCTTCTGCTGTCGCTGTAGAGTTGCTTGCGATCAACGCCAGCAGGTGTAACCCCATAGTCCCAGAGACGGAGTTCGTGTCAGCGCAAAGGCGCCACACGTGGCCCCTGCCAAAGGAGTCAGCATGGATCATTGTTTGACGGGCGTTTGACAAAGCAGACTCAAGGGTTTCCCCCATTAGTTGCTCTGCTCCGTTACAAAAACAAGCATGTTCTTTGGTTACAGATACCACCATCGGTGGTCATAGGCTTGCTTTACGTTTGCTTGACCCTATTCAGAATTCACGACATGCACGACGCATGTACCCACCAAAGCAACACGAATACATGAAAGAAAAGTCTTCAATCGAGATCCTGACGTTACGAAAACACCTGCACTCTTTACAACTTGTAGCGGGGGGAGTAGTCAACTGGACAGTCCATGTCGTTCTTGTGAAACGTGCCCTCCGTTGACCATCTAGACAGGCATCGACTTGAACGCACCGTACTCCGACATCCACCCCTCCATTGACCAAACATGTAGACGAACACCTACAGATATAACAGCGACATGCACGGCGACACAATCTCTTTTCTATCTCTGTTGGTGACACGATAGCGGTTGGTCCAACCCTCTCGCTTTTCTTGGGATCTACATATCATATCATACATGGAGGACGGGAAGAGTAGAGAGGTTCCGAGAACCAGTGTGACAAGGTCTAGCGACACATCTCCTCACAACCCCCTGTGGCAGTTTCAGCAATTTCAGAACTATGGCGGAACGCAGGTGGGACCCGGGCGCGTCGCTTTATCTACGTTGAAACACAACGAGTCTTCCCACAGCGCACGCTAGGGCTTCACCCTTGATACCGAAGAAAAACAAGGCGGGCTCCAGAGTCTGACCGGGGCTACCCCCGGTCAGTTATCTAGACGAACAACCACACAGGTAAAAACGCACCTCACTTCGTTCCACACCACCAACAAAACCGTTACTCTATCAAGAAACAAGGCACTCCGTACGACGGTGGATTTGTAAGGCGTTTGGTCGAATACATCGAACAACGCCAATGCCCGCCCAAGGAGAACCACACGCCCGCGCGGGTGCTGAAAAATGCGCCTCTGACGAAATACGGTTCCAAACGCAACCAAGAAAACACACGACACTACTCTCACTGCAACTGGTGCCATCACGCACAAGGCAACCAACCCACATCAATCAATCCACAGACAGCGAAATGTAAGATAGGTCTAAATCCAACGACAGGTAGGTGTCATGGCCCACAAGGCAAACCACATCAATCCACAGACAGCGAAATATAAAATAGAATCAGTATCAAAACGACAGGCAGGGGGGTGAGCCTATCTCTGCGCAATCGAAGCACCACCATGGGATAAAACGACACCACTCGTTTCAGCACAAGAACATCGAAGACGCTGCAGACTCAAGTGATTTGGAACCCACGCTTGGGTGTAGGTACAGCCCCGGTTCTGTGAGCGATGCACGGTATGAGAACCATTGACTTTAGGCACATGCGTTTACTTGTCCGCCTGGGTGAGCGCTGCAGCCACCTGACGAAAAGGAGGACGCGGGGAGACGCTTGCATCTTAGACTACAGTAGTCTGACAAGAGGAAACAGGCTTCAGGTTTGTGACGAAAATTCAGAGGGGGAGATGTTCATGTTAACATACACCGCTCACCCCACGAGACAATAACCAAACAACCAAGAACCTGCCCGCAATATAACACGAATCGAAGTGATGGCGTCCGAAGGAAACAGCATTTAGTCTATTACAGACCTTCCAATTGTAACTGGTGTTTCCAACTATTGGTCGGCGACTGACAAGGCCGGCCGGCTCAAGAGAACGACGAGGGAATGGCTGGTCGGCCTGCCGTCACACGTTCAACATGCTGTATGTAGCATGTAACAACCTTCACCATGGCGCCAAACTTAGAGATGGCCCTGTAAAGGCGCCTAAAGGAGTAAATGACATGGACAACGCGGGTCGGTGGCGCGTAAGGGGTACATTCCTTGCCCGATTCGAAAGTGTACAAACCGTCATCCTCGGCCGTAAATATCGATTCACCACAAACAAAACACACGGTTGTGGGTGCCTAACAAAACAATACGCCGCGTGCCGAGATAAAATCTCCTCCATCACTTGGGTGGGCCGTGACCACTGCTCACCTCGAGCTCGAGTTGTTGGATCCTCAAATGTTGAGACAAGCATTCGTCCTCAAGTTTGGCCACTTCCACCTGTCGGTCACAGGAAGCGAGACACAGTTGGCATTCTCATCTCAGCAAAACCTTCCCCGCACGCAAACAATATGCGCGTGGCGGGTGCGTATGGTCAGCGCCGCAAGGAAGAAGAACTATCGTGCACATGATGGATTGAACCTTCAGATGTGCAAGCGTAAAACAGAGGGATCAAATGGCGAGCACCCCATAGCAGAGCATTGTGACTAAAAGGCCCTTACCTCTTTCTGACGGGTGGGCTGCGCCAAGCCCCACCTCTTCGCGGTCCCTTCGATGTGTTGGCGCTTTCGGAAAACGGGCCCACAAGCGCTGGTGCTGGAGTCCCGTTCAGCATCGACCATGGAGTCTCCCGGGTTTCCCCAGCGTGGGATTCCTAGATCCCCTAGAATTCGGCCACGGTCTTCTTCGAGCATGTCCTGACTCACACCCAGTTCTTCAAGGGCTTTCAACCGCGACATTTGTTCCATGCTCAGACTCAACAGCCACTCGGCCTTCGTGCCCTGCGAAAACGAGAACGAGGGTCGGTCGTGATGAGAGGAAGAAACAAAGAGTTGGGCGACCCGCAACCAAGAGCTAAAGTTCACAACCGTTGAAGCCTCCTCGAGGGCAAGGCTGCTGTTGTTTCGGAGCCATCACGCCGCCACACACACACACACGCACACACGCACACACGCAAGAGAGAGAGAGAGAGAGAGAGCGAGGGCAGCCATGCTATCAACGTCAGCATGTGCCTCCTACGAGCCTTGGCTTTGACACACTCAGACGATCGCCCGATGGTCTGCGGTTGCGAGGAGAGACCGTGTCACCTCCCGCTTGGTCGGGGGATTGTTCGTCTGGCGAACACTTTTTACAAGCGTGCCACAACTTGTCAGGCTACTTGTTTCTGGATGCGTGCACTACGGTTATTTTGGTGGCTCTCTAGTGGTTAACCTCCCACACCTACTATAATACTTTAGTAGCAGGTTGTGGCTGTCTTCGATTCTCTCTCTGGAGGGTTTCTGTTCCTGCAATTTGCAGTGGAAAACGATAAGTTCCATTTCCATTCAGGGCGACGTTCAGCAGCAGCTCGACTTCACAGTCGACGAGGCAAACCCACGCTGAACGCTTCTCGCGATAAATACGAACACAAGTTCAATGTGAGGACAAACAACAAGAACTGCAAGAGGTGAGGTGGGGCAAAAAAAAAGAACGTCCTCTTTGTGTGACCCCGGCTGATACCTCAAAATATACCCCGAAAAAGGGTGTGTAGACGGGGTCCAGACCCAATGGGACGTACACACAGAAGCTGACCTCCACGCCTCGTTTTGAAACAATCGTTAGGGCGTTAGGGCACAACACAAATATATCTGCATCGAGTGCTGTGAAGCTTTCCGTATGCATATGCCTATGGAGCCTTGGCTACACTTTGATAGATCTTTAGGACTAACCGATGTTGAACGTAGCAAGGCTAGGTTCCTCACGCGAGCAAGGCTAGGTTGCTCACCCCAACCAACCCTAACCCTAACCCTGACCCTGACCCTGACCCTAACCCTCACCCAAGGGCAACGCACGGCCTAGCGGCCGCGAACTGGGCGAGCACCCGGCGCAGCCGCGTGCTCGGAATGCGGAATGGGGAGAGGGCGCTGGAGAGGAATCGGCCGTTAGAACCAACGCCAAACAACGCCCGACCAATCAGAAAGCGTTAGTCCTACAGATCTACCGTACTATTTATCAATGTGTAGACAAAACACGACCTACTACTACTGTTGTGACGATGCCTACGATATCAGAATCGACAGCGTAGGGGCTTTCGTGCGGGGCTACGCACTACCTGCCTGTATATCACACAATACATGACCCCAACGAGAGCAAATACGAACCGAGAGCAAGCGAGCGAATCGTGAACAAGAGAACCAGCAGTAGAATACCACAGCGCACTGCCTAAATGCGTCTACACGTCTACACAAAAAGTCCCGTTGGAGAGGGAAAGAAGGGCGGTGGCAGAGTGCTCGGCAACGCCACGCTAACGTACACCCAACTTGCAGTGTTGGAAACACCATGGACTGCAGCTAGCCCACACCACACGTGGTTTGCCTTCACCGATTGTTTTCTACTGTACGCAGTAGCTGAGATCTTGGCACAGGATTTCTGATATTTGGTGCGTGCGAGCTGGTGGAAGCAGCTCTTGTCATCTGCCATAATCGCCACGGAGCAATCACAAAAAACACCACCAGCAAATTGGGGTCGAAAGGAGGAAGAAACAAAAGCTGACCAGGATCATCGTTAACTACAACCCGCCCTAACTCACGAACGCCAAGCCCAAGGTCAGCGACCTGTACACCCACATCGCCTGGTGCACCCTGTCTTACCAGTACCGCCGGCACGGATAATGCATGGATTGAGACCCAGGAACCATCGTGGTGTTGAAAACGACGTTTATTTAGAGAACAAGCACGCACACGGCCAGAGTCACGACACATTACATGCAGGTAGGTGATGATGAGTGCAAACGAACGTACGTGTGCACACCCGGATCCACGTGAGGCCTTGAACAGCAAAAAGACAATGTAAATAATAAATACTGCTACAAACCACCCCTCTTCACTACTGACTGATAACCTACAGGCATGTAGGGCACGCACGCAACTTGATGCACACACAGCAGCATGACTCCACGGCGATTTGTCTATGCAGCTACATTGTCCCGGGTCCCGGGTCTCCCACGAACCAAATGAAGAACCGCTTCAACGGCGCAAACGCGGACAGAACGCGGAAAGCGGGAGTTTGCGTTTCGAAAAAAGAGCCCGGGCGGGTGGAGACGGGCGGGCATGTACCACCAGCACTCTTAGCATCGAACATGCTGATGCATAGTACTATAGTACTACCAATACTGCTGTTGTCACTGGATACTGCTGTTTGCAAAATACAACTATTCTATGCATACGCACACTCCATACTCAAAGCATTGTATTTTCAGGAATTGAATGTGTCTCTTCAGCTGTGTTTCTCACGAATGATAGTTCTAGAGGTTCTTGGTTTGTAGCAGGAAAGACGGACGACGGGTTTGTCCCCGCGGGCGGGAATAATAAGGCCGTTGCCCCTGGCATTTCGTTTGGGAAGGTATGCAACGGACTTCAATCTCGTATACGATAGTAAGTGTTCTTGCTCCGGCCGGCGGTACTGGGCCTTCGGTGCATGGCCTTTATTCACCACACCCGCCCGCTTAGTCCCGTCTCCGCCACGCAGTGCTCATCACACTACAGCCTTTGGATGTCATGCATATGTATTCTTACTATAAAACAAAAACGTGGTAATCATGGTACCCTGGATGCCCCCAGTATTGCATACCGACACCCATACATGCGGTATAGTAGAGGTCGCGTGATGTGGTCTGCAACCACCGCCGTATTGACGTACACAGCAGTAGTTGGAACCTCCTTCCGGGCTAATTTATCTACAGGCGGTGGTGTCGAGCGGTCAAGCAACGACAACTAACTGCAGGCAAAAAGAGTAAAATAGTAAAATAGCGTGTTTTGCCGCGGAGCTCCATCGTGTCATCCACCACCCTCACAGGACCTCATCATATCTATACAACATACCTCGGGGATATTCATTGCCTCTCCGAAGATTCAGCATTGTAGAAAAAAATAAATATGTTTTCCCAGGACGGCGCATTGCATGCAGAAAAGGGCCTTGGAATCGTACGTAGACATCATTCATTGCCCCCGGAGCGTGCAGCACAACGAGGCAGGGTCTTGCAAAGCCTTTCGGCAGGCATACCAACATCTCAATCAATAAAAACCGTTTGGCCGTTTGGGGTCGGTTTATTATTTCAAGATCTTTAAACTGAAGGGTCACCGGATCGGAAATCTCCACCACGTCTAAAGAGTCATCATTTCGCGCAGCTTGCCACTGCCGCGCTGGCCGCCGCCGCCGCAGCTCGTTGGCTGGTTTTGCGAAGTGTGCAAAACAGCGATTATAAGGTAGCAACCTGTCGCGCGCGCATGGCACGGCGTGGTTGGCTAAATAGCTATTTCCATTTACATCCGTTTTTTGACGTTGCAAAGCACCTGCCGCGCCTCAGGGTAAAGACGTTGCAGCAGACTACGAATGTCATGAGGTACATCACAGCAGTCAGCAATGAATCAATGATAAATCCTTACCTCGTTGTTCGTCCTCGGTCGAAGAAGCTCTGCCGCGAGACGGACATCCTCTTCTGTCACTCCAAGCTTCAGCAGCGCCTGGACACGCAGCACTTGTTGAGGTGTCGCACCAATGAACTTACCCATAATGAGCGGGGAAGCGGAAAAGTAGTTGGGTCGGTTGCCGTCCCGCTCGAGTGTGTGTGTGTTGCTTGTTGGTTGGTTGCGTCCAACGTGCACGAAGTCTACCTCACGACAGGTACCGGTTCGGGAACAGTCCTTGTCTGGGTCCCGCCGCCCTTCTCCGGTTCCAGCGTTTTCCGGCGTTTTCCGGCGTTTTCCGTGTTCCCGTGTTCCCGGGCCCGCCGCCATTCTCCTCTCTCCCCTCTCTGTCTGAGGAGATTTCTGTTACCCCTTGTCTCTTTCTGCCTCTCTCTCGCCTCGAGTGTTTGATTTGTATCCACGTTTTGTTACAAGCAAGCTGGCCTCTAGGATCTATCCCTCCGGTATGCTATGGCGGTTCAACATGCCGCCGGTGAACACAAGACGAACACGCCCGGAAATGAAGATGGTGACGTAGCGACCGATCTCCACGTCGCCCTGCAAAATGTGCGTGTAGTGTATCCTACCTAGTACAAGTTCACCAGTGCAGTCGTCGCCAGGAGATTTTTTTTGTTTCGTGTGTCTTGTATTCTGTGCAAAACACTCGAGCCTGGTTCAACGTCATGAAGAAAAAATAACTCAGCACGATAAGCAACAACGGTCCTCTATCAGGCTACAGCAGACCACGCGTAGACTTGCAGCAACAGCAGACCATGTGTAGACTACACTCCCGGGTTTCGTACTGCTCTTTTGTAGGGGTCTGAGGATAGCTGCGTAAGGTGCACTGTTGCATGGAATGGTATTCCTGTACTCCTTCCTGTACATGTAGTAAGAGTGTTTTGCGGCCCAGCGTCCGACGTACGTACGTAGTGGAGCAATGGACATACATGTAGTCTTCACTACAGTATGCCTTTTAACTGCCCTTTTCGAGTCTTTGGGGCTCCTTTGCCAAAATCCATTATCCATTCCATTGAAAATTGTAGTCTAGACCAGCACGTAGAAACGCTGCAATTTATCTACACACCAGCCTAAAAATAAAAACTCCGAGATGGTGCATAGGTTTACACAACCGACATTCCTCTCCTTTGAATTCCTCGTAGCGTTTGATGCGTGGCCAGGAGGGTGAGTTAATTCGTAGGAGAAAAGTTTGTTGTCGTAGACCGAACAAACTGGCATTTATTGTGAACGGCAGACAATGGAGCATTGGTCTACGGGTGTAGTTGGGTCTTGTTGTGCCGCCCTGGGGGCGTGTTGGTTCGGATGCATCGGTCGGTTCGGTTTTCTGGGGGTGGTCCCAAGGAGAGAAAGGTCTCAAAGGCCTTCTCAATAAAGGTTATGCTGCCTCCTTGCCCGTGCAGCAAGAGTTTGATGGACGCGCATCCGCTGGATCCAAGGGCAGAGTGTTGAGGAATGTACAAAGAGTAAAGTATGCAACCCGCTTTGGAGGGTCACGCGAAATAGAAGGTCAGCAGCTAGCCATATCGAAGCTCGGACCTTACCTAGCAAACTTCAATTTTTTGTCACAACGTCAAGCGATTTTACGGTCAGATTAGAGCCCTGATGTCTAGCGACTGTTGCAAGCTATTGTCCAACTCCGCCCTTCCGTCCCTCCGTCCCTCCGTACCGTTGGGACAAAATGATATGCCTTGGTCACGGCAGGAGGCGCTCGAAGACCAGGTGCAAGCGTTTCAAGAAGCCCTCGAAGTCAAGGAAGAACGATTGAGAACAATCGCGGGGGAGTTGACGGCGGCACGAAGAGAGTTGGAGCGCGCGAAAAAAAGCGCCAAGTTCGATCTTGTCGCCGCGGAGGGTCGGACGAAAAAGCTTGGGATTCTCGAGCATACCGTTGCAACTCTCCGCCACGATCTTCACACTAATGTGGAGCGTAGGTAAGCGTATCTGCTTGGCCGGGAGGGGGGTAAACGTGTATGAGACGGTCCCCCCCGAGGTGCAGCGGGGCGAGCAAATCTTCGTGGAAACATTCTGAATACCCAAGGGGAACAAGCTCCGGGCGAGGGGACTACATAGGCTAGGTATCATCCAAACGACCACAATTGGAGGAGCGGTAGGAGATCTGCCGAGATGGGGCGTACTCTTATGTTTTGCATGCCTTAGCGGTTAGACCATTGACCACGCGTCCTCGAGAGGACGGAGCAATGTTCCCACAGGACCGATCACCGATGGCCAATCGTTCCTTCCTAGTTTGCCAAAGGTGACTCAAAAATGTCTTCCCCAGTCTGTCTATCCTAACGATATCCCTTCCCGCCTTTTCAAACCACTTCCTACTCCCCGTACAGCTACCGTCCTCTCCTCTCTATTCCATGCCTCAAACATCTCCCTGTACGTCCCTTGCATTTTTCCCAGCTCAGTCATGTACACTTCGCTCTCCTCTTCGTACCACGAACATTCCGCGACTACATAAACACGGTCTTCGCATTCGAAGCCGCAATCACATTTGAACTTGTCGTCTTCGTCGTCTACCGTCCTATGTCTTCGTCGACGTTCTCGAAGGCCTATGTCCCCGGTCCTGAATTTGACCTTAAGCTTTGTCCCTGCATCCATTGGTCCATGTAGGTCTCCTTGAACCCTATTCCTTCTTTCAACATTCCGTACACTTCTAGACCCTCCTTATCCTTGGTTTCTTTCCTTAGATTCTGTTTTTCTCTCTCGGCACAAGCAACAGATATCTTCTCCTTGAACCCCTGTAGACCCTCCGTTTCCAGCGTTTCATCTTCGTCGATGTCTAACCCCTTCCATACGTCCTCTACAACCTTGACCCATTCCGTGGGTTGTCTACCCCTCTTTTTGTTTGCCTACTTCGCCTCCCATACTATTCTCGGCAACCTCTCCTCTCCCATCCCGCACATGCGATACTGCCATGTCAGCTTCCTTGCGTCTCTTCCCGACCGATCCCTGCCGAGATGGGGGTTCCAATTCATGTGCTACTGCGTTTTTCATGTCGATTTTTCGGGTGCTTTCCTCACGATGGGGGTGCCTCAAAAATCGTGTGCTTCGTGGCAACCTGCTCTTCTGCGAATAGCGTCTCTGTATGGGGTCTTCCACCGCCTTCATACCCATGTCCCGAGTCACCAGTTGATCGCGCATTCCTCCCTCTAGCACACACAAAACCCGCCGCATGCCACTTGTATATGGCAGATGTACATTACCACAGTGAGTTGGTTGGGTTGAAAGCAGAAACATAGAAAATATGAAACATGGTACCTATTGTAGCCAGCGATTTTTTCCTTGTTTTCTCCTGTGCTTCATCGTTAACTAGGAAATAATGTGTCAATTTTTTTACCATTTTCCGTTGCACTACACGTCGTCGAGAGAATCACATAAGCCAACAACTTCCTAGGATTGCCTTCCCGCCGGGCGTTACAACAAGTAGGCCACACGGCGACAAGTGATATAGATAGATAGGATAGATAGATAGGATAGAGAAAGCATGCTTGAGCCACCTTCGGCAAAGGAGTACAATTGGCAATCGGCGATTGGTCCTGTGGGAACATTGCTTTGTCCTCTCGAGGACACGTGGTCAATGGTGTAACAACTAAGCATGCAAACATGAGTACGCCCCCCCCCGCCCCCCGCCCCCCGCGAGTTACATGGGGCCGATGTAAAATCGATGTTTACGATCAAACATTAAGCCTCCCCACAATGACCCATAAATATGGTCGCGCCCTAGCTGCAGAAGGCCGATCAATATCCGCGGAGAATTGCTTCTCTCGACACGTCTCCCGTTCACAACCACGGCCATCTCCGTTTGCCGCCAGACAGAAGGTCGAAGAGAAGGTGGCAACACTAGAGCGCTCGTGGCAAAACGAGCGCAGCCTTCGATTACAGGTGCGTAGAGGTATGGTACCTTAAAACGGCCGACCATAGATAGAATACAAGCACTAATGTGTGTTCTCTTTACTAGTAGTGCGTAGATGTAGTAGGTTCTCGACATTTGTAGTAACTGTAGCGGAGAACATCCGTACCAGTCTTTATCAGGAACACGTACATATTTGGGTGTGTACAGGTGCTAACCTATGATGGACTTCCTCGCACGTCTTCAAATTCTGTTTGCCGCTAGGACCTTCACCGGCACGATGCAATGTCATCAGATACGAAGCACGCAGAGAAAGTAGCCGAGGATGTTGAGGGAAGATGGCTAGAATCTGAGAAGAGGGCACAAGTTCTGGAGGTAAAGGTAAGAACAAACCAAACCTTGGTGCTATGCGTACCCCGGTGCGTTCCAAATGTCCTCAGATCCACTCATGACGTGGTATTCCGTAAGCGTTGCGTTTCACATGGCCACTCGACACCACAGATGGCAATTGTATTCGCACAAGACACGCACGGTGGAGTGTACAGCCAGACTTGCGCGTAGCGAGGCGAGACGCAGGAAAGAAGGCATGAGAAACAGAACGAGCTTTACCGCCGCCGCGTCCTTCTTGAAATAGTGACCTCTGGTGTTGTCATACGAAACGTTGGCGACTTCAGGAGTAGAACGAATATGAAGCAGGGTCATGTGGTTGATATCCTTGCCTGCCCCTTAGAAATCCGCGCATGTCGCCTACCCCAGACCGTTTGGTCGCCTTACTTTCCGTAACGCAACGCTCGTACTTTTGCAGGTAGAACAGAAAATACATGAGCTCGAATCCCAGTCCCGAGTCAACGCTGCACAGGCAGGCGAAATCGAGGCCCAAGCGGCCGAGATCGAGCTCCATAGGAAAGAGATTTTCGACTTGAAACAGTGAGTGTACCGCCTGGTATCGTCGTTGCGGATTCTGCCTTTGATGAAAAATCTGACGACGTCTATCCCTCTGAATACATATTGTTTCGGGTACTCGACACGCGATACTGATCTTCGGGACTCTGGGGTTACGTGTATGTGTGTGTGATAGGGCGGTAGGGCGGCGCCCCCCCCGGTAGGGCATCACGCTCTCTCCCGCCCTAATTCCCTTTACTCTACTCTAACGATGTTTATCAAGTGCCTGGGGTCAACCTCTTCCAAACGTACATTTCATCTTGCTCAATTGTTTGCCCGGAATCGAAAGAGTGCTGCTTGCCAGAGAAGGGGAAATATCGACGGGATGCAGCACCGCCACCGACCTGAGACGCGAGTTGTCGCGCGTGAGAAGGGAATTTATCATGAGCACGTCCAACCGAAGCGAGCAACAAAGCGCGTTGCTCGGCAGCCGCAGGAGGGGGATCTCTAGCCAAAGACGGCGTCATCCTGACAGGGATTCATCGACGAAAGAGTTGATAGCCGGTGGTGGACACGACCTTTGTCGCAAAGAAAACTCGCGTGCCCTGCAGAAAGCTCGCGTTTCGTGGGATAACGTGTTCATGACGAAAGCAGACCAATCCGCCGAGACCGTAAGTGACCATCGCAACAGCAGTGGTTTGAACAAAAGTAACGCCCGAGAAATCGAGAAGCCAATCGTTCGGCACGTTCCACACTCAAGTCCTCCAGGTATGTCTGGGCTTGACAATAAATTTACGAAGAGTGCATCCTTCATTGTTGGTGCGCCCCTGTTGCTTTGTCGGAGCACGAAACGTTGTGCCGTGCGGTTGCTCGTGGGTTTTGTTAAACGCGCTCTAGACTGGTTTCTTACGGCAAACTAAAAGGGTACAATTCTAGCATGTAGGTCTCACGGGCTAGTTAGAGCTACACTGACTGTCTCAAAACGGTTAAGAATCTAAATCTACCTCCAGGCAATGCATGGCCAGACTTGTGCTGATGTACGCGATGGGCGATTTACTATTTGTCTTGGTCACGTTTGCTTGCTTTCTGCAGTCGGCCGTGACACTACTTCTTCTGCCGACGCCAACCTCGATGGCACTGGGCGGAAAGAACAAACCCTGCAGCAGTCCAGACGTGGACACAAGCCAATCCCTCCACATTCGACCCTCCTCGTGGCGGGATCGCTCTTCATCGGAAAAGGACTCGGGGTGAAAAAGGCACCGACTGCGTTTTCGGGAGGATCAGCCAAAGACATATTGAAAAACATATTGGAGGGCTATGCACTACAGGAAGCAGAGAAAACATAAAAACATGAGTGTCACGGCTCCGCGCGGCGTGTCTATGAACGCCATCGCGTTCTGACAGCCTTGCCTGGGTGGCATGTGCTAGTTCGGTTGCCCGACTCGTCTAGCTCTTGTGTGATACAAAATGGCAGCATCCGACGGAGTTCGGCTGGAAAGGGTTGGATTGCGTTAGACAAGGTAAACTGCCAGAGTTCATGGGTTCGAATCCCCACAAATGCGGACCCGTGAGTGTTGACTCCCACAGAGAGGCGAAATCTCTTGGATTTGCGATGTTGAGCGATTTCTTGTTGGAACGAGAAAAAACAATTTTTTGGAGCTTCTCTTTGATGTCGCGCTCGAAGGCATCTACCCTCGCAGACAAAATATATACGAGTATTTTACTTCGCCAAGATTTGCGGTTCTTCTCAACCTCGCCCCACGGCTACTGTTGGGCCTAATACGACCACTATGCGCTAGCCAAATGCGCCTCCGTCAGAACCCTATGCAAAGGTACTCGGGTTTCGATTTGTAGCAGGGTTTGGTGTGTACCACGTCGGTTGTGACGACGGCTTGAGAGCAATGCTCAGCGTTTAGAGATATATTCCATTTCACTAACGACGCGGCCGTGTCATTCTCCCCCATCCTGTTCGTCATCTCCGTCCTCGTCCTCCTCGAGGTCGAACACTATCAAGTGCTTCGACGAACTCACGGCGCACGCTATCCCCCGCGCACCGGAGAGCGCTACAGCCACTCCCTTGGCATGTGCAGGCAGCTCTCTCGATCGACTGCTTAGCTCCGTCAGGTGGGGAGCGTCTGCACCCTGCCCGCGCGCCGCCCCTATCACATCCTTCGACCCCCCGCCCCCTCGTGCCTTCCGAGCCGGTGACGCCAAGCCGTGGTCGTCGAAGGAAGCGAGCGAGCCGACCTTCGTAAAGCCGAGCTCGTCTAGGTCGAGCAGATGGAGAGCCGTTGCCTGGTGTCGGTCTGCCACCGGTTCCAACACGATCGCTAGCCTCCCCTCATTCTGCGTCGGAACTCCTGGCACGCTGCCGTAGAAGGCTACCTGCCTAACTTGGAAGCCCGGCGGAGACCTCACGCCCGTGACCCACATCGAATCCCGGGGGGCAACCGCGACGTTGGAGCCTTCGAGAGTTGGGAGCGGCGTTGGCACTACGGTCACCCACACCACGTCCAACCCCTTCCCGCCCCGTGTATTGTCTGGAACCACCGTGACCGCCACGACGCCTCCACTCTCTCTCCGATCTCGCTCGCCTACGTCTACACACCCGGCTGGGAGCTTATCGTGGAAGCCCATGCACGCGCGCATGGACACCAGCGGCGGAGCGCCCCCGGACGCTGCTGCTGCCGCCCTAGCAGCAGCCCTTGTCCTAATGAGGTCGCCAGCGCCCCCTTCAGAAGAAGGGCACAGCCTCGCGCAAGTTACGTTCGCCACGGCGCGGCTGAGTCTGTTTCGCGGGGCCTGGAAGACCTCCTCCACGGATGCCCCGAGGCGTTGTACCTGAGTCCAACAAAAAATCGCGGCAGCGATACGGTGAAAAAAAAGACCTGCTAGCCCAGCTTTACGTTGATTTCTCCTGAAGCGCGCGCTAGGGAAGAGAAGCCGAGAGAGAGAGAGGTAAACGTGAACGGGGGTCGACGGAGGCGTTACGACAGAGGAAGTCGACCTCACCTGCCCTCGTAATGTGCGGGATGCCAACACTGGATCCTCGGGTAGAACGACGAAGCGGTTCTTTTGATTTGGACCAGTCAAGGGCCCTCGAGCTGCGGGAGGCCCCTCCAGGGACTCTACTGGGTTCTCGTCCACAGCGAGCCCCGGAACGCGTGTACCAATCATTGACTCCACCTGGTAATCAGTCAAATATTTGACAATCACAGTTTGACGAGATATTCGACAATGAGCTCGTACATAGGGCGGCATTGGGAGCTACAGTTCAAGCACGATCAGGGTTCAGCCCAAAGGGTCTCGAGATTTCGACACACAAAAAAAAAACGCTGCGTTGTGACGGTGAATTGAGATATCGCTGAACGTAAAACTACCAACCGCTTGACAGGTGCGAAACCTCGAGCGGCAATCGCGGCCACGTGCATATTCCAATCCAAGAAATCACGTTACCATCACCAAATTCGTACCATGTGCTATGGCATGTTAACACCGACAAAGACAGGTACCTCTCGAACCCGTGCAGCACCTCCACAATATCAACCCTCGGAAAACACCGGTGTACTGTACCAACACGGAAACAAACAAGGCGACTTCAACGCATTCGTTGCCCGCGCATCCTGGGCTGCCATACCACGAATTCGCAACAACTTACTCTGGAGCGGGGCGAAGCACCGGCTGCTGTCGATCTCGAGGAAAGGGAAGGCTTATCCGACGGCAAGGGTTCCCTCAAAATCGTCAGAACAGAGTTCGCCAAAGTCAGGCAGGGTGACGGGGGCTCGTGCTCCTCGGTGCCATCGGCAGAGTTGGAATCGGTCACAACCGGCGACATTTGTTCCAGCCAAAGCAAGAGAAAACGAAGACGCGAGCGGCTGGTCTGCACATCACGCAGCGTTTGCTCCACCTTGACACTGGGCGAAAAGAAGATTTGAGACGACACGGGAGCAGAGTTCAGACTCGGACATGTGCACGAAAACGCGCCTGTGCACGGACGGGGTGGTGTCTTGGAAACAAGCAATGGCGAGTACACGGCGGACGTTGAACATAGCAAGGAATTCGCGAGCGCAACCCTAACCCTATCACCGCACGCGTGGTACTCAACGTACTCTCGCACAATATTCGACTACCCCCTTCACAGCGTTGTGGCTATTAACACTTAAACCGGCACCTGCAGACCGCCAGCACTACTCTACCGTCCTTGCTTACCACAGCATCTCGCAGTCCTTGAGAAATGCTTCGACCGGCGCCTGGCCGAGACCAAGCCCCCCATCGCCGTCCACGCCGCCCCCGCCTGTGCAAGCAATCACCAGCCGGTGAAGGTCGCAAGCTCGGAATAGCAAGGTTCGCGCCAGGAGAGACACGTCGCCTCGAAGCATCGCCTCCACCTGCACATTTTGTTGAATTCGCGCGCGGTGGGACCGAAGGAGGCGGTGTCCAAACTAATCATCGTGGTTTCTTCAGGCTAGGACCTCCCATCAAAGGCACTCTATTACCCTATTACACGAAGTAGCCTAATGGTGCGTGGGGAAAATAACGGTGGAGGGCACAAATGTGTCAAGTGCGTTGGCGGTACAAACCATGACGCTCTGGTTGGAATCTACTTGTAGGTTTGCCAGCGAGAAGCGGAGTCGTGACACCGCACACACGAGTACTTACCTGCCCTGTGCCGGTGTCGACAGCCTTCCGCATCCGAGCAAGTTGGACATGCGTCAGGCCTGTCGACAGGAACTGTGCGAGCGCAGCACTGGCATACCCACACGTCACCTGCAGAATAAAGTCCGGTGCCAAGTGAAGATCAAGCAAAGATGTCGTTTCGCTTTTCATTGTGCTTCTTCTTGGCATACTTGCGTCGATCCATTCCATCTTGGCGATACCTGACCTGCGGTTGCATCAACCTCTCCCCATCAATGACGTAAATTTTTCATGAGACACACCGGGGTCATCATTAGCTTACTGGGTTAGCTGCCAAAAGTGTGGTGGTATGCCGAGCACGTATCACGGTTTGCCGATTGGCAGCGACAATGGAGTCCAGGTGTACGGGAACGCGCTGTCACGACTTGCGCATTCGTCGTAGCTACTCACAAGATGAATGAACTCGTCCTTGGCAGTGATATCTTTGTCATAGCCGAATCTCGGCAGCAGATCTTCCAGGTTCCTGTAAAAAAACGACAGAGACACAACATTGAAAAGGGCACCTCGGGAGTGAATCCACATGCCTCCATTGAAGATGGCCACGACTGCACGAGGTAACCGAGAGCAGAAGCGACGAAAGTGCTGACGCACGTGTGCCCATGTTCCTAAGAGCTACAAGGTGAACTCGATCTCTCCACTAGGGGTATACTAAAAAGCGGTTGGGTTTCCGCTGGAGACTTTCTTCGTGAAAACCAAACCCACCCATGTATTACCCTCAATCCTTCGCGCAGGGGTCCATTTGGCTGACAGGCGAGATCGACTTTCACACAGCCAGCCGCCCATCATGCCACATTACACTCCGCAACTCAGCACTAAATCGTGACCGACAAGCGTATGTAGATCAGGCCTGTCGTACTCGCAGTCTTCGAGCGAGCTTCCCATAAATAACGACAATCTCACCCGAGCTTGGTCTCTAGCGCCTGCAGGGTGCCCTTCCACAGCTGGGGCAACCGTGGCACGGACACCACCAGCCGCCCGATTACAGCCCTGAAAGCGGTGAACTGCATCGCCAGGGGCTTGAGCTCGTGGCGTTGACGCCAAAGCAGGGGGAGGTCCACCTGCCGTGTCGATCACCCGTCACACGCAGTCGGTCGTCTTAACTTAGAAGCTTGCAGGACGGGCGACCTTTGTAACCTTATGGAAATCAGCAAAGATGGTGCACAAATACCTGCTGGGCAGTGGCGCAACTAGCACGGCGAAGCAAATATACCAGGTGTGCTGTTGCAGGCGGGTTAACGTACGACATGTTCCGCTGAGTTTCGTCACCTGGATAAGCTCGACTTGTCCGTCAAACTCCACAAGGGCAGTCAAAACGCTGAGGTCCGCGCTGAGAGTAAGCTGCAAGGGCCGCAACGCAGGCCCCGTGCCATCGATATCGACCTCACTCTCCGTCAGTCCAGAGAAACCAGCACCATCCTGACCCGGCGACCTTCGAAATCGTCTCTGGCGGGGGCTATCTACTCTTCCACCCCCGGAGGCTCGACCTTTGCCCTTCGTGGGTTTCCGGTGCGCCCTGAGGTCGATGGTTATGAGTCGATAAGCTCCACAGATGGAAAGCACAACAACTCCCGCGGAGTCTGCGCTCGCCAGAACGCTCACCGGGCGCTCCTTCATACCCTGTGGCGTTTCGACCATCCAGCAACAAGGCGAACACCGCAAGGTTTCTGTGAAACACCAGTCTTGGAAGGGCAGCAGTGGGAACCTTGCCCGGACACGCAAAAGCCGTCAGGCATGCTATAATAGGTCATGTCGCCCTGGTATGCTCACCACCAGCACAAAACAATGTTTGGTGTTTTCGGATCGAGCAAGCGAGAAAGCGGTTTCCTCACCTGATTATCGCTGCAAAGCGGGAACACGAACAACGCGCATGTACACCAAGCTCGACGACTTTGCGATATCGACTCAAGTGTTCCTACAGGCAGCGACCAGTCTTTGCTGCACGCACACCGGTATGGTATCCACGCACCACACCTCTCGATCTAGTGAAGCTGCCTCAGTCGTTCGCACCTGTAGCAGCATGAAGCCGTCGTCTGCCTGCGAGCTGTACTCCGAGGAGCGGCCCGCAACCCCTCCACCAGGAGCTCCGTTGGCCCCAGGCAGCTGATCACATGGTCCCAGTACGTGCTCGCAGCGATCGGCGTAGGCAGCCGCGACTTCCGCGAGTTGGTCGGCTTCCTCGTCGGCCCTTGAGCGGGCCGTACCATGACGAGGTTGCTGCGCTACCCACGTGAGGGCTGCAAGAGACCTTCCTTCGTGGAACGCCAGCGAGCATTCCTCAGCACCTGGAAAATCAAAGTGGACGCGGACCAGGTTATGGTTCGTTTAGTGCACACGACCGTAGTGGCGCCCGGGTGCAGATCTACGAATCTATAACGAACGCCATGCATCGCAAACTACACTGTGCGTGGCTGTTGCAAGGCGTTCGCGCTCTAGCCGATGAAACGTCGAGCCCATACCCACAAATCGCATCCAAATGTGTGGCATCTCAAGATTAACGACTCAAGAATCAGCAGAAAAAAAAAATACTCCATGATCTGGCACGTTATTGGGCAGTTCACACTTGCAGCTAGAACATCAACAAAACAGTTCAATGAATACCACCCACAAATACCTGTCTCAACGCCGAAGAGCTGAATGGTACCATCGGTGTACCCGACGGCCAGGGTCTTGCCGTTAGGGCTCCAGGTAACGCATGAGAACGTACGATTGCCCATATCCTCTTGAGTCAGCGTGAAACTTCGTTGCCAGCCCATGGTCCTGTTGATACAAATAACAACAGTTTCGAGCCCGTGAAAATACCACCAGAGTAACTGGCATGTCTCACGGAGGCAGAGCGCCGCGAAGTGCAAAATACTCCAGAACAGGTCGCTACAATTATTAGGAAAAATAAATACACACACACACACAGAAAGACTACCCGTTCGAGATATACCCACATTCGAACGGCAGCTATTTACTGCTGCTGTGCAGCGGTAGTTTTTTTGAATATTTCACCGCATTTTTCAAAGTGAACGGCCTTTGCCTTTGCCACAGCTGGGTCACAACCGCACGTTCGCCTTCCGAAGAGATACACATAGACAGGCTGCCGCTCTTCCAGAGCTCTTAGGTGCAATATGCAACTACAGACCGATGGCGGCCATCGGCGAGAGAGGGAGGCACCAGTTCATCACCTGTGCACGGAGAGCTGGCCATCAACGTGGAGTGAAGCCACCAAGTCCATCGTAGGGCACATGCACACCAACCGGCAGTGAAGCAGTTTCTCATGGATGATCGAGAAGTTCCGGCCTGCGGCCGCCATGACAGATAGTAGGATTCGTTCGTATGAGGTGAACACGAGACGCGAGAGCGCGAGAGACACTCTTGCCGGCACTCTTCCCCAGGGGCCAGGGGCGTTTTGGAGAGACATTGCGTAGGCGGGAGGCGGGGCTGTTACCAACAGTTCGGCGAGGGGGGGAAAAAAAGTGAAGGAGGCATGTGCATATGTGCATATAAGTAACACACAACACACCAGCAGTCTATACAACAGGCATAAATACATTTACCCCCGGGGGGAAAGTGCGACCCATGGCGAGGTAGTTCGTGGCACTGCGATGCAAACTTGGCCTCGATGCTTCTATTGGCATGCTTTGTTGGGGCTGTATGCCTCCTCATCACCAGAGGCAGGAGAAACTTCTGCTGGCGAAACACCAAGCGCTTGTTTCGAAGGTATATTGCTGCATGTTGAGTGTGTACGACTACAACATAGGAGTACCAGTACACAGTACAATATACAGTCTACAAGTGGGTAGACTACGTGGAGTTCCAATGGCTTGACAGCAGTTGGCGAACACTCTTGTGCGTCCGCACACCTCCCCTCTTGAGTTTTATTGCTCGAGTGTGAGTCCTCTTCTCTGATGGCGTCGTACGTGGTTCTCTGGGTGTAGAAAGAATGATGTACGAAGAATTACTCTTTCCCTCTACCCACACTACTGTCTTAAAGATTTGTTGATCTGGTGTAAGACATGTCACGTCCTCTCGCTCTCGCCTGTCGCCATTTTCTTGGAAAAGGGGGCAGTTTGACTTTCACCCCCAGTTCACCTGGAATATCTGGGCTGCATTTGTTGATCTAAGCAAGGACACGCCCGTACAGTTTTCCTTTTGCTTTGAGGATAATCGCGCCCCTCTTCCTCTGTCCGTTCTGCGCCTCGACGACCGTTCATCCACGTACAGCGGTGGTCTCGCTGCCGTGGCTGTTCGAGATGCTTTAAGGTTCTGCAGTGATATCCTCATTCTAGTGAGGCTTTTACTTGTGCTGAAGGTCAAGGCCGCACGAGTCCGCGGCGTTGACTGGTGAGCGAAAGTTCAACTCCGAGAACTCCCCGCCTGAGCCAATAAGTCCGACTTCCTCCAAAAGCTTAATGTGCAAGTTGGCCGCACATCACACTCAGTTTCTACAAAGCACTGGGCTCTACATTGGCGGCCAACCAAGCATGCTAGCAGACACAGTGATACGTTGGTGAACGTTTTATGCGTGACACGAGCTTCAAGATTGAGCCCTACAACTAGCGCCCCACATCGCAGGTAATCGCAACCTCGAAGTTAGGCCACGCCCTGCTTGACGATCCAGCCAGGTCTTGGTTCGGTGCATTATTTCTTGCTTTCCAGGAGTGTAGCAGACATGTTCGAGGAGATCCTCTATCGCCACGGCGACAAACCAGCAATCGTGGTGGCTGAAACGGGTTCATCTACCACTTACACTCAGCTCGATCGAAGGTGGGTTGGGGTGGCAGCGGGGCGGCGACTAGACCTACAATTGGATGTGAGTGTTGAGTTTGGCCCATTGCCTTATTCCCCTTACCCCTCCTGTAGGCCGAAAAAGTTAACCGAAGGCCCCACCTGGGGGCTGGCAGAGGTTGCATGTCCTTCTAGTAGCAATTGTAGCCTAGATGACTCGTAGGGTGAACCCATGCAAGAGTATATCGCGTGACTCAACAACCGGTTTCTGTGGACGCCCATCGCCACAGGTCAAATCAGGTCGCCTACTGGGCTCTGAGCCAAGGCCTCCAGAAAGGAGACGTTGTCGCGCTGATCATGCCGTCGTGCCCTGACTACGGTAAGAGAAGAAAGGAGACGGGGAATGTGTTACACCTCCCGTTTGACCAGCTACTTGTAGACGAAAGTTGTGTGTCGCTGTTGGGGGCGACTACACCAGCTAGGTATTCGCACAACTCGGACCCAGATGCCCGTGGCGGGCATGCAGGGCTGGGTTTTCCAACACGCAGCAAATGCTCACGTGGGCCTGGTTGTCTCAACCAGAAAGGGAAGGCTGGCAAATGTGCGCTACATTGATTGCAGGAGCCACGCCTTGTTAATGTTCCAAGGAGCAGCGTGAGGCGCGCCCCATCATAAATCATTTGTCAACGCTGTGGTGTAGCCTTTGTGCCGTATATTTACAGCGCTGCCCTCCGCACCCGGTTCTCCTGCACAGTGGCCATTTGGCTAGGCATGGCGAAGGTTGGGGTGTGTACGGCCCTTGTCAACATCCACACCAAAGGCCCGGCGCTTGCACACGCAGTCCGGATCGCTCTTGAGCAGTCGAAGTCCCACACCCCGATCGTGGTGGTGGATAGAAGCCTTGCCGCACTGATGGATCCTGACGTCCTTGATGCGCTTCCTGAAACGGTGAGCAACAGGGTTGGGTATACTTGAATCAAATCTGTCGCATTGACCTGACGAACTTGAGGCGTACCCTGTCATATCGGGGCGAACGTAGCGAGCAACAAATGGGAGGCCGGTTGATGGTCTTTAGCTTGCTTGAATCGAATTTATAGTGTTGTACCCGTCGTGTACACGACCTCCCGAGGTGGGTGCAGCATTCACGGCGAGGCATCTTTTGTGGCCAGGGGGTCGCACACAACGACGACTTTAAGAAAACCGTCCCAAACCGTCGATCCCCCGACGATGTCATGCCATTTCCCTGTTGGAGCCAACAGGTGCGTATCTGCGTGTACGGGGGAGAAGCAGAAGCTGGGGACATCTCACGAGATGATATGTGGTCACAGATAGCAACAATGAGTCAAGGCTCTGTCCCCGAGGGAAGTCGGCGGGGGATCATGTGAGGAGCGCAACAGGTAGTTGCTGGAGCACATTCTGTACCTCGTGTGGCTATCGCTGAATCGCAGCTGGCTTTACGCTCCGTTGCGACAGGAAAGAAAACCCTGCACAACTGCTACGGTACGGTGAAGAAAAGACGACGATCACTGACTTGAGCAGCCACTGATACCGTCTTTTGTCCTCCTTGTGGAGAACGAGTTGGGTCAGCAAGAGCCGTTTTATTTCGCGTGTAGGAGAATTGTACAGGGATACTGGCAACATGTACGGACGCTGCGTTGTCATCGATGTTCTTCGGACTTGTCCCTTGAACCCCTTTCTCTTTCCTACAGGTGGAACAGCCCATTGATTTACATCTACACCTCAGGCACCACCGGCCTACCCAAGGCTTCCAAAATCAGCCATCTGCGTTTCTTCTCCTCAGCTGTCATGTTCTCCGTAGCGACCAGACTGCGTTCTAACGACAGGTGCGGTATCGGCAAGCGCTTCTGTGGGTTTCGTGTCGTGCTAGATAAATGGGTTCCTCCTTTTTCCTGTTTAACCAACCTCCGAAGTACCTCTAAGCACCAGTCCAACAACTTGCATACGCCACCCATTCAGCCGCGGTTTCAACTGCCACCGAGAAATGCTCCAGTTGACAAAACAATGTACATAATCCTTGGACTACAACGACTGTTGGTCGAGATGCGCGCCCCACGCAAGACCGGACGTCTAAACGGATCAAGGAAGACATGTTGTGATGGACGGACAACGTTTCCGCACAACAAAAGCTTGTGACATTTCTGGTATCGATCACTACCATAATGCTTAGAAGCATGTAGCCCTCCTGGCCCCTGACTGAGGATGTGGGTGGACTTTTCTTGGTGCACGTGGGCTTGATTCCTTTCTTTCAGGGTGTACTGCGCGCTGCCCCTCTACCATTCCTCCGGCGGCATGCTGGGCGTGGGTGGATGCTGGCGTGCTAGGTGTACCCTAGTTGTTCGCAGGCGCTTCAGCGTGCGGCACTTTTCGAGCGACTGCGTGGCGCACCGGTGCAGCGTTGTGCAGTACATTGGCGAGGTAGCAAGGTAAGCTGCCGAGGAGCAGGATGTAGACCAGTAGCTTACAGCAGTGTACTCGAAAAGCCGGCCGCATGTCCGAACTACCGTGGTACAATCGTTCGTCCGCTGATTAGATTGTTTTTTCCACGTCGAAGAATACTTGTGAATCTATTGCTTGGAATGCGCCCATGACAGAGGGCACAGTCCCATTGAAGGTGGATTCGGGGGTATTCCTCGTAGAATATGGCGCACCGGACTGTCTCATCCTGCGCCGAGCACGTGGCGGGGTATTGTATGAAGAAGAAAAGGTGGCCTTCGGTACCCCGTCTCCTGGCTGCTTGGGCGTGTAGAATCCCCTTACATGTCACACCTTTGCCGAAATCCTTGAGGGTTGTGATCCTGGTCACACGAATACAGTAACATCTGCAAGCTCAGGAAGCCAGCTGGGAAGGACATAATTCGAGGCGTGCGAGGGCGTTTGCCTCGCATCTCGTACGTGCCAACGGGGAAAAGGGTCATCAGAGCCAGCATGCCGAGCAGAGCTTGTGAGAATGCTTCGGTCGTACGGGCAAGGCCCGCTATTCAAGGTTTTGAGAAGCGTTCCTCCGGCTGATAACTTTTATTGTTCGGCACAAAGGCTGTTGGCTTTGTGAGGGGGCTTGGAACCGCGTCTCTCACAACGAAAATTTGTTGCATCCAACACTGGGTAAGAGGCTCAAGGAACCCCGCGGTGTACGCAGGTACTTGGTGAATTCGAACGAGACAGATCTAGACCAGCAGTGCTCCATCAGGGTTGCCTTCGGGAATGGTCTAAGCCCTGACGTCTGGCGCCGCTTCCAGCAAAGGTGAAGTATGGTGACAGTAAAGGTATTGTAGTAGAGATATTTTTGCGTTTTGGATTTGGCAAGGCTGCTCCGAGGTGGGACATGAAACGCGTAACTTGCCTTCATCCCTGAGGATGTAGATGGTAGCCGAACACGGAGCGATTTGGCGTGTTGCAACCTGTGAGCCCTGAGCCACGTGGTTGCTACTTGACTTTCGGGTATGGAGTATGAGAGCTGCGGATGATGCTTTCCTAAATCATGGCGCTTTCGTTGGATCATGGCGCCAATAAGGAGGCTTCTACAGACCGGTTATGTCGTTGCTTTTGTCGACCCTGCCTCTTGCCCACCTTCGTACGATACGCCCCATTGTGCCATTCGACCCTACTTCGTTGATGTGTCCCACGAGGTGTGGAAGGTGTTCAAGACGACTATTTGTGCCCCGACTTGCCCTCATCCCATCAAAACGATGCGGCTGAACCATGCTTGATCAACACCTAACCACCCGTTGGTGCTCACACTGTGGTTGCCAAGAGAGCTTCAAGCGATCACCGTGTTTCTTTGAATCGCAGGTACCACGTCCAGCGCATTTGTGAGTTTTATGCATCCACCGAGGGAAATGTGGCCATGGTCAATACTACAAGCAAAGTAGGGGCTGTGGGCGTTGTTCCGTGGTTTGCCGCAAAGCTCTACCCGACTCTCCTTCTGAAGATGGACCCCGGTGAGCGAAAAATGGCCATGACAACCCGATATGGGGATTTTGTGGAAGGGCCTGGCCCTGTCGCGGTTGCTGCTGCGGCGCTTGCTGGTTGGCGGCAAGTGTCATCATTGCGCCACATGCCACTTTTACGGAACAAACCACGTGCTTGTGCTTTCATTCTTTGCAGAGGGAGAGGAGTTGCTGCGAGACAGCCGAGGTCGCTGTGTGCCCTGCCAGCCTGGCGAAGTTGGTCAGCTAGTGGGGCTCATTAATGACCACGACCCCGCCCGACGATTTGAGGGGTATACCGACTCAAAGGCCTCTGCGAAAAAGGTGAGCCGGTTCGGTCGTCAAGCAGTCGGTTTGTTCTTGGCACGAAACCAATCATGAAAAACTCGTTGCAAATAGAATCGAACTGTACAGAACGGGCCCGGAGATTAGTAACCCAAAAATCGGGTCGAGGCTCAGTTTCCTATTCATCGCCACTGTCGAGTAAAGGTTGTTGCATACCAGTGTTTAGTCGAGGATACACCGCTGAGCTGTCTTTCTGAACCCTAATTTCTTATTATTCGTGAAGATTTTGAGTCTCTGTTAACGAAATGCTTCTTAACTGCGGGCCCGTGCTGTATTGCTCATGACCATGCATTGGCCAGGTAGCGCCCTACTCTTGCCAAGTTAGTACCTGTTCGACACGGCGGTGTGTTGTAAGCATCCTCGCCAGGCCGGGATTACGGCGGGTCATGCAGCACGCTAGATTTTCCTTCACACAACACACAAGTCTAGCTGAGACCAGATTTGCTCAATACTCACGATGACGTTGCCCTTGCCTAACCTCCTTCCCTTCAGATCGTGCGAGATGTCATGCTTCCCGGTGACCTCTACTTCGCAAGTGGCGACTTACTTCGGAAGGACGCGTTTGGATTCTACTATTGGGTGGACCGGCTCGGAGACACTTTCAGGTTGATGGTGATGGATGGTGATGTTGACAGTGCTGTGCCACGCCTCTTGTCTCTGCTTGTTGCTCAAATGTGTCCGCACACTCCTGCGAGCCTAAGGCTATATTGACGTGTCTGCCCTGTCTGTCGTGCGGACCGGCTCTATCGCAGGTGGAAAGGAGAGAACGTGGCTACAACAGAGGTGGCCCACGTGATCTGTGGTTTCCCAGGAATTGCAGATGTGAATGTTTACGGGGTTGAAGTCCCCGGGACAGAAGGGCGGGCTGGAATGGCGGCTATCGCGTTGAAAGAATCACGCCAAGCGGATGAACTCGACTGGAAGGTAGGCAGGCGTGCATGGGGTGAGACTATATATGGGGGCAATATTTAAGGTGCCATCGAGTGACTCGACTCTATGCTTGCACCATTCTACGTGGACCTACTTTGGCAACGATTCCCCTCCCTGGGCGAAGCTTTACCGCCTACCCGTTCACACAATGACCTCCCTGGTCAAAGCTAGCTGCAATACAAGGCCGTGGTGATCGTAACTGTGTGCAGAGTGTAGAAGGGCTTGTTCGTGAGTGGTATACTGGTACATCATCTGCATGCCAGTATAGATGAAAGAACAAAGGGTTGGCTTGGCTCAGCCCCTCTCGCGCTGAAGTCGAAGGCATCCATCGCATAGCATGCATTCGGTCTGACCCCGGATCGCACTTCCTCAGTGAGTGGAGGAAACAAGACTTGTGGCAGAAACATGCTGGGGGTGACGTACTGCTCTCATACCTTTTTCGGGCAGAAGCGCCTGTTTTTGTGCGCACGATTGGCTTTACGTTCAAATAATTCGTTGTTAACAGCAAACGCGCATGGTTCCAGAGCAGGCCTTGTGTCACTGAATGGGCTGTTCTCGTGACGTGAGATGCCCGTCTCTTGTATCTTGCCGCTTGCTTATTATTCTTCGCAGAGGTTTTTCCAGCACTTGAACAGGCACCTCCCAAGTTTTGCCCAACCACAATTCTTGCGGGTTGCGGCGATCTCGAGCTCGACCTCCCATATGACGACAACATTCAAGCGCATCAAGACTCAGCTCAGGAAGGTACGTTCCCAATACATACCCCGAGTTGTACAGCTGTGGAACTAGACGACCGTCGGAATGTTTATATTCATCCTAGTTTAGTGTAGGGATCAGGTAGAGTATTGCACGAACTGCTTCCTGTTCACATATGCATAAGCAAAAAATGAATGTTGCTATGCACGTTGCAATCTGCCATTGCGCAGGAGGGTTTCGATCCTACAAATATTGAAGGAGAAGCCCTGCTACTTCGCGACGGCGTCGACAGGACATTCGTGCCTCTTTCGAGGCATTTGTACGAGGCGATCAGCGATGGCTCGTTACGCTTGTAGCTTCGTGCGCGTTCTACTGCCGTCCGATTTATTTTTTTTTCGTTAGAAAAGCTGCGTGTCAGCTCTGTACTCTACTAAAACTCCGGAGAATTAGTCGGAGTACGCGTTCGACTCGGTGGCAAGAAGAGCACAGGTATATGCTAGGATGGTTGTGTTTCACCGAGCACGCCGACGCTTTGCCGACGTGGGCAAGCACGCAAGTGTTTGCAAAAGCTATCGTTTGTGCATATAGTCTTGGCATGGTGTTACGGTGTTGTCGGGCGCACCGTCGCACGACCTATGACTTCTCAATCAGGCGCCATGCCCACTGCAGTAAGATTTTCTCAACCTTGCGTACTTTTAGCCTCTAGGGAATAGTACCCTTCACGAAGTGGACCAAATAAACCTGCAAGCATGCTATTATAGGCTGACATTCAAACGGCTGGTCCCACGAAAAGAGTAAGGGTTGTGTGTGCGTACATCGCATTCCACACTAAACGAATACAAGAGCCTCCCCGTACCCCCCGTTATCCCCCGCACTTAAAACTGCTATCAACGAACACACTCGTCAGCTTGTCAACTTCTACTCTACGTACCACAATTCATAATAGGAAGCTGGGCTTTTAACCTCACGGCCTTAACCTTAAAGACCAATATTATGTCTTACAACACAGCACCGAGGGCGCTCACGAAGGAGGAAAGAACACCAACTAACGCATCACCACAAGACAGCCCCACAAGGTCACACACAGGACAAAACTATCGCAGGCGTTCACGGCACGGGTGTGGTCGCCCGCAGACCAAAATACAACCCAATCACACACCGCACACCTTCCCTCCTGCAGCCCACACTATCAACTGAGACGGCCGCAGGTGATGTGCGTGCAATTGGTCAACAAACAGAAAACCCAAACAAAACAATTCAATACAAACCTCCCCATCCCGTACCTCTTGCGAAAAAAAATGTAAATGTGGGTACGTTTTCCATTTACCCCCGGCCCATACACGGGGGGGATACATTTTGTATGGTATAGGAGCAAAAGTTTGACGGCCAACCTGGTTAAAGGCGAACGTGAGAATCTCACGGTTGTGTTTACATGAGAGAGAGAAAAAAGTTATACCCCCCCGCCGCCCAGAACCCGTGGCTTGCATCAATCCGTGTACGAATTGTGGATTATCGATCGACGACTTCTCGCCTCGTGGCGGGACCCTCACAAGAACCCAATGACATCGTCGAAACGCTCGGGTTCTCACTGCCCTCCTGAACGCCCATCGTCATTGGCCGCGGGGCGAAAAGTGTACAAACTGGACCCATTTCACGAATCCGATGTGGACGACCTCGCGGAAAGTACAGCGAGCTGCGCGGATCGCATCAGTGCGAACAGAGGCACGGGGGGGGGGGGGTACTCATAATCGTGCATGCCGTAGTCGTTAGACCATTGACCTCGCATCCCTACGAAGCCGGGACGGAGCACGCCGGGTTCTCGCCTGACCAGGCTCTCACATCACCAAGCGCGAAGCGCCGTGAGGTATTCGGCGAGTCGCATGAAGGGTGCGCTTCATCCTGCTAAGGGTGTTCGGCATCTTGTGCTTACTGCGTTGCGTACGGATGACAGCTGCGTATGACTTAATGTATATGGTGCTTTCACTTCCAGGGACAGTTGTAAGAATTGTGTAACTGCCTCGAGGGTGCTTGACCAATTTAACACAACGTGGTGCGATTATCCCCTTTGCATGGAGTGTGGGTTCTCGACCCCGCACAACATAATCTACTCGACCACCATCATGGTTGCCGCAAAAAAAAAAAAGGCAAAAAAAAAGCGGTAACCTGGTTGCCGAGCTCACGAAGCAATCGGCTGGGCCCGCGTCACTAAATCAAGTCATGACGTTGGTGACTTTGGCATGAGAGTGGTGCAAAATAAACCTGCAATACTGCGGGAAGCTATCCTACCGATCGCTGCTCCTGCAATGTCACCAGCTGCATAAAGGTCGCTCCGGTTGGTTCCGACTCAAGGTGGTTAGACAACCTCGGTAGTACATTACGCACGGCCAACAACGAACCAAGAGTGATCGATCATCTAGTCAACGAAACACACGTGAGCGAAGGCGCCGACTTGCGTGACGGGCGTCAGTCCAATCCTCACGGAAACAGAAAACCAACGACCCCAAGCAAACACAAATCGTTGGACACCAAGCCGCGCGCACGTTCCAAGGTGCCCCCGCCGCTACTGCGTGGCCACTCGGGACGAAGGAGTGATTCTTGAGCCCTTCCGGTTGTGTCGACTTCACTCTCACCTGAGACTCAAGCTCCTGGATACGCGTCATTTGCGTGTGGCAGACTTCCTCCAGCTGCAGCACTCGCGACTTTCCGAATTAACGCATGAAGGCGCGCACCGAAAATTGAGCAGCAGGGGGCGGATCCCGCTCAGTTTGTGTCGAGGAATACCAAACTCATAAGTAGATATGATCATGAAGACAACGCATATCACTTCTAATTTCCAGCAACTAACTGGCCGGGCGACTTCAGCACCTGAACTCCAACCATGGAAAGGCTGCCGTGAAGTGCTTGATTTGTATGCGATCCGATCATGGCACGGCACATTGGAGAAAGCGTTGCACTCTCGAGTTACCGACGGGACATGGGGTCTCTAGAGCAAAAAAAATAAAACTGCTCCGCTCTAGCAGTTATTTGTCGGCGGGGAAATCTTAGGGCGGCATATATACCAGAGGGCCACGTCCCCAGGAGGCGGAGACGGAGGGGTTATTTCTTTGTTGGAAAAGTCACTGAGCGCAAGTGGTATGTATGCACATGTTGAATACAAACGGCACTCCAACGCCGAAATTCGAAAGATCGATAAATACAAAGAGGGACATAAAAAGTATTCCAAGATCACGATAGATATCGACGGGTCCATGTGTAATGCTAACTGCTGACCTTCATGCGCAATTATTTTCGTTCGATCATGCCGTCAACCGCTTGCGGACCTCAACAGGTATCGATCAGAACAAACAGAAACCCTTGTCGAATGACCGCTTCTTGTATGCATAGAGCATAGTGCAGTACACAAGGATGTCGGTCGAAACCATACCTATCGAAACAAAGACGATTCACAGCGATCGGGTGCACAATATTTTTTTATGGTCCTATGCGTCAGCGCCGACTCTGTCACCTACAATGCATTTTCACAAGAAGTCGAGAGCACGTTGTACTGCATAGCCGTCATTAACTGTTGGTATCTGGGGAAATTCTGCGCGGCGGTATGCATACATATGTAGCTCTCAACAATGAGGCACTCCGTTGCTAAGACAATCCTCTAATCCTCTTCATCGGTATCCACTCCCGTTATCAAAGATCGCACAACATTCATATCAGTACCACTGCCTAGAACATGATATGCTTACGATAAACCCCATGCCCGTTGTTAGGTTGCATTGACCGCTATGCGGGTACATAACAGAGGCGCACGTGTAACAATGTGTGCCCCGCTGGGTTGTTTTGGCTCACATTTGCAAAGGCTACCTCCCCGGGTAGTGTGGTTCCCAGTTCTTCGATCGATGACCGCCGCTTCTTGATGAAGAACCTACCGCACGTGTCCTCCGCCTCCTGACCAGCGCCACATTCCGACGCCCCCCCCCCCCTCCCGCCAGACCCGAGCTCGCCAAGTCGCCGTGACCTCTCCTCCTCCACCACAGCTTTGTAGAGAGGAGAGGAGACGAGAGGAGCAAGCAATTGTTCCGACATACAGACGAGGGAGGAGAAAATGACTTGACTAGTATTATCGATATAAAGTAGTAGACCGACGTCTACTGCCGTACCCGTGCATTACAGGAAATGCGTCTCTTTAAAGCTTTAGAGGAGGACTCTACCTGAAACGTTCGCTCCTTCCACGCCACATTTCAAAATGAATCCACAGCAGGTATCCGTGGATAACGTGCTGGATTATTCGGCCATGAGGAGGATGTTCACAACGTGTGTAACCCCAAGCCAATAGACTTTCGACGCACCATCACAACAAACAGCGGCGGCACCTCACAGGCCTCAACGAGACATTCATGTTCGTGTGACTTTTTACATCGAAAATTACTCCATTTTATTGGTACTGCTGCAGTCGCACGAAATGTTCGGGTTATATATCTTAGACACTCTTTTCTATAGATAGAGATGTGGAAGGTTGTGTTGTACAACCTGGTGTTTTGTCAGAACGATTAGAAAGATCAAAGGGGGCACCGTCGGTAAGAGATAATTGATAGGTAGGTATGTATAACGAAAGGAAAAGAAAAAGGAAAGCGATGCACCTTGCTCACAACAGAAGAAACATCTGAACGAAAGAGCAAGACAACAAGCAAACAAGAGGAGGAGTAGAAGAGAGACAGAGGAGGCAGAAGAAGGAAGCGAGTGTACGGAAGGGAGGAGACAGACAGAGAAAGAGAGCAAGAGCAACGTCGGTTCGTTATTTTTTCAACGTCGGCCGACCCGGCGCTTGAGCGCCGGGGCCGGGATCCTGCTGCCGAGCGCGGGGTGGACATGAGGAGGATGTTCACAACGTGCCTAACCCCAAGCCAATAGATTTTCGACGCACCATCACAACAAACAGCGGCGGCACCTCACAGGCTTCAACGAGACATTCATGTTCGTCTGACTTTTTCCATCGAAAACTACTCCATTTTATTGGTACTGCTGCAGTCGTACGAAATGTTCGGGTTATATGTCTTAGGCTCTTTTCTATAGATAAGAGATGGACTCGTTGGGTCATACTGACAAAATAAAGCAAAAAAAACGCGACCGCCGTCATGCGCCACATTTGCGCGGAACGCACAACGGTTCTGGTACCTCCCTCAGCTTCACACAGCAGCCTTACACTGCTGTGTAATAAGAGATAAATGTACATAAGGGTAACGATGCTGAAGTTTGTGCGTGCCCAAAAGGCCTGCATACCGCCGATCGGAACCAACGCTAGCAGGGGACCAACCAACCAACACACCACAGAGTAAATGCACAGAAGACACGAGCAGTCACTCTTCAGAAACAAAGCACGGAAAAACCGCGGGGTTCTGTAGCAGGTTATGGCAAAGGGGCCGCAGAACGGAGAAGGATGATATTCCTCTGGGTACATATCACCTCAAGGATGTTTCTTTGTGAGGGGCAGGCAGGTCAACAGGGTTAGGTTCAGACCGGGACTCCAGAGACGGGAAGGTACCAGATACTGCCCAGTTAGATGCTCAACACAAACAAAACACAACAAAATCGCACTCGAGTACCCGAACTCGACAGCAGTGCAGCAGTAGCTGTGGGGTATTCTCGGGATGGGTTCAGGCGGGACACGAGTGCAGCCTATGAGCAGCTGGTTTCGGTCAAGCTGTTGAAGCAGGCTACAACTGTATGTATGTACGCCATTTTCTTGTCCCCTCTCTCACCTTCGGATATCCCCAACACCTGCAGCGCCTTGTGAAAGCTCATCTGTGCGTATGTGACTCCCAGTAGCCATTCTTCCTTGGAGGGTGTCTGAGGACGTGGGATCACCGCACAAGGGTGGTCAAACCCGGGACAAACAAAGCGTGTCGGAAGAGTGTCACGTCCGATAAAAGATGGTACCTGCCTGTACGCATCAAGAGTATGTAACTATTCTTGGTAAAAGAACAAAGGTAGAGGCGTCAGCAGTCAGCAGCCCATACTACTCTTAAGGAATAATAAATACACACACAGAAATACTACCCATTCGAGATATACCCACAGTCTTCTTCAAAGGTGTACAGGGTTTAAGAACGATTCAAGAGTACTCCGACTACAAGAATCAAATCGTCCGGTTTAGTGGACAACGAGAAAAAATGTGTTCCGCTGTTCCGCTGCATCTGGTGATCTCGGGTCAATCGCCACATTCATACCAACGCGTAATGCAGATAGATGTCAACCATGCAAAGCGTCTCTGCTGTGGACTCCTGCTTATGCCCAAGTAGACTCGTTTAGTGGCGGTCGACCACAGCAAGGCATGTCGACGACTGATGACACCGGCAATGTCCATCTGAGCACACGCTGCTGCTGCTGTACATAGCCGCCCGACGTCACAACGGAATATTTACCAGAGTGCGATGCTCGCGTCTGCATGTCTGCATACAATTGTGAGCGACCAAAGAACTAGAAATAACACGAACAGACGAGAGGACCAAAGACTCTCAAGCACATGTCCTAGAACGCCGACATGGATCATCGAGGGCCCCTCAAGTAGGAAATCCGCTGTGTTTTACATGCTGTCAACCACCACGACGAGTACCATAAACTCTAATCTCGCTTCGCCGCCTCTTCAACCAACCCTGCTGTCTTGTGACTAAAAAACGGAAGCCAATCTGTACGCTCACATTGTCCGCCCCTTCTGAACGTGACCCCATTAATCGCTCGGCAATCCGGACGTCCTCATCAGTAACTCCCAGCCTCAGCAGCGCCTGTGTGCGCAGCGCCTGCTTCTGTGTCACCCCGAAATGCTTCACCATCACGTCCTGCTTCTCGTAGAGCGTGCTTATGTGAGGGGACTTCATTTGGGGAGAAAACGGCCGGCCATTCTGCTCCGGCTCCTCAGCGCCAGGCCCCACCTCATCAACGCCAGGAGTAGCGGCATCGCCTGCACCTGCACCATCCCCGACAGCGGCTCCTTTTAGACTCTGCAGGACGACGGGAGGTTCTTCTACGACAACACTCTCCAACACCACGGCGGAGGTGTCAACCATCGTTGGGCCTGGGCGGTGCAACAAGAGAGTCGCGATCGCTCCCAACACCTTTAGGTTGAGCTCGCTGTCAAAGGCACCGACAATGACTTTCCTCTCCTCGATGCGCGCGCGCCAGATAAACCAAGATATCTCTTGTTTCGCGGAACTTCTACCAAGCGCTCTCCACGCCGGTGCTGTTGGAGCGGGTGAGCATGCACGTGTGTCGCGAATGTATGCACGTGTATGTGTAGCCTCCCTGCTCGTGCTCGTGGCTCTGGTTGAGGGGAGACGCAGGTGCGACATGGAGTACCCCGCGTCCAAGAGACCCAGTATTGTCGGATCATGCGCAAGTGTAGCTAGCAGAGTGTACACACGTACACACAGCAGCAGCAGGGACAGCCGTGGGACGCGTTGAACAGAGCCACAGGACTGAGGGCTGAGAGAGGGAGAGCAAGAAAACAAGGGGATCCATTCCGCACCATTCCATTCCCTTTTCGGTCTGCCAAGGTTTGAGCCCTGTGCAGCTGAGTGTATCGAGAACGTGTAGGCGCAAGCTTTTGATATAGGCGGACAATCAAGCTTCCATCCAGCGCTTTGGCGCACGGACAGGCAGTGACTGCAGTGGACTTTCCCCTCTTGCTCTGGCTTCAACAACTGAAGATGGGCAAAAAGGAGCAGCTGGTGGTTATCTCGTTGGTTTCTGTGACAACTGTGGTGGTCGGTGAGTGTGGGTGAAGGATTCGCCTGTCTACTGCTGTACGTACAACTTTCGTTGCTTGTTTCAGGATTCCGGCACGTCCGATAGTTGGCCCAGTAATGTGAGGCACTTATGTGATGCACAGCCACAGCACAGTACAACGATACCTCCAAACATCATCACCGTGTCCTACTGCTGTACAGTATTCTCAGACGAGTTGCCAGGAGACGTACATCTAGACCGACAGGCTTGATCCTGTCAGATTGATTTTGGTCGTGGAATACAATATACAGAGCTTCGTATGTAGTAACAGTATGGCGGTAGATGTAGCGAACGAAAGAGCCTCTCCTCTCTGTCCGTGTCTTTTTTATTACGTAGGTCAGTCGGTTGGTCGGGTTGTGTTGCGGGGTCGGGTTGGGTTGGGTTGGAGGTAGGGTGGGTTGGGTCGGTCGGTCGGTCGGTCGGTCGGGT